CTCACACGCGTTGCAAGATGTGGAGAACGTTTCTTGAAAGCTGATGACCCCTTCTAAACTCCTGGCCTTTTAGAATTGGAGCGAAACCCTTTTTCGGGCAAATCTTGCTTCCAAAGCGCTGCATGGTAATTAGGCCCCTTGTTCCAAACCCCTACATGCGGGTGACAAACAGTTGAAACCATTGCTGTTGGTTATCTTTCCAAGCCCCCTACATTGGTAGCGAGACATTGGCAACAGATACTTTGCCCAAAGCCCTTCACGAGCTTGACCCTTCTTGTTTGAGGATGTTTGAGAACCCTTTCTGCACTAGCTGGTGGTGAATCCAAGCACTCTTTTAAGCAACGGGGTACAGGTTTGAAACTCAGAGAAAACGAACAGGTGCTGTTTGACAAGTAGAATTCATGTTGCAACGCGCCGCCTGCCAAGGCAAGACTCACAAGCGGGAGTGGGATGCCTTTTCGCGACAATGTCTCGATCGGCGCCAGTTCCCAACGCAGCTCGCGCCGGTGTTTGTCAAGTCCAAACTGGATTTGTTTCAGGAGTGGCTTCGCGCAGGGGGATCCTGGGAGAAGCGCTCTGGCTTTGAGTCATCACATTTTGTGTAAACATTATTTTGATTTGTCGGGCAGCCAAAATGACAACTAATGCATGGCAACTTAGGGTGTGCTTGGCGTTTGAGCGACGCACTGCAACATCCACACTGCACCGGCGACAGCGGCAAGGCACCAAGAAACGGAACATCATCGAGATCTATGGGGCAGAGAATCTCAGATTGATTCATAAGTCCATTCTTTGTGTTCAGGTGTCTTGGGTAGTCCCTCCCCTGAGAATAAAAAACACGGTCCTTCTCGGCGCAGCACCAGGAAGGGCGACGCGCTTTGCAAACGCCTCAAGGCAGCAGAGCTTTACGAGTACGACGAAGACTTTCCACAGGATGAAGAGGACCGTAGTTGGTTTGAGTTAAACCATCATGACCCCACTCCCTCACTCTCAAGACAAAAACCGTGCCACTGACTCAACTGTTACACCTCAATTCAAAAACAGTTTGATGTACTATTGAGTATATTTCCACATGCTGGCCACAACCCTTGCACGTTCTCTCCGTGGAATGGTTCCTTCTCTCAATGATTCAATGTGACTTTGAGGGTTTAAATCCTCCACTCGCTGCAAAACCCAGCCGCTGACTCATGGTTTTGCTCTAGTGGCAGGGGTTCCTTCTTGTAAATCGGAGACTTCAATTGAAGAAAATTACAGTTCGATCGCGAACATCTGGCAACCACATGTTTGCCCTGACCAGGAGATCTTTTACTTTGTGGGGCAAGGTGGCCTGCTGCGACGGGATCAGTCCACAGAAGAAAGCCTAGCTGTGCGTGTCAATGACACCAACCCCGATGAGGAGTTGACCCGAGCCTTGACGTCAGAGTTGGGCCCGTTGGCAAGCGGCGCAGTGCCTGGCATAGCTGGCGTCTCAGCGGCGGGCCAAAAGGCGGGGCCAAAAGGCGGCCAAAAGGCGCTGGCAGAGTCACTCACCAAAAGTGAGTGCGAAGCAGCGCCCAAAAAGGCACCAAAGCCCAAGAAGGTCAAGGAGGATCCGCCGATTGAGGCCCTGCCCAAGGAAACTCATGAGATTGCAGCTGCAAGGGCGCCTGAGGTTTTGAAGACAGCTACCGAAGCAAGGAAGTTTAGCATCTCTCTTCAGGATCTCCAATACGCCGGGGAACTCACCAACAAGCTCATGGTGTTCTCAAATCGGATGGAGGAGATCTATAGGCAGCTTCAGAAGCATCTTGCGGCAGGGGAGACCGCTGCCCACTGCTACACACAGCTGCTCAAAGAGATTGATGAGAAGGACGCTTGGTACAAGCAAGCCGAGGCCAGCTCTCACTTTTTGGATTGCTGGTCGAATCGGTTTACAAGCCCGGTAACAAATGCTTCGAGGGTTTTCACCCTCATTTTCAAAGGTGACATGTTGGATCGAGATCTTGTGTTGTGGTTGTAAAGGGAAATCAAAAGGAAACCGCTAAACCGACCCTGACCCTCCCACGGAAATCCTGAGCTGTTGTTTTTGGCCAAGAGGGGCATCGCAGAAACCCCCAAAGACTTGCAATATGGGTTTGTCTTGTTTGGTGTACCCTTGTGAGGTTGGTGTTTCAGAGAAACCAAAAGGAAAACCACTATTTTGGGGGGTCTCTTCCACCAAACCAACCCTGCCCCTCACACACAAATCCCGAGCTTCACGACAAACATTAAGGTCATCCCAGAAGATTTGCAACATATGAGTTCTTCCATCCCCCACCCTCGCACAGAAGTCCTGAGCTGCTAACACTGAGTTTTTCCACCCATCCAACCCCGACCCTCCCGCAGACATCCTGAGCTGCTGTTTTGGGCCAACGTGGGAAACACAAAAACAAGTTTATCCTCAAAGAATTGCACTGATGTTTGCGTTGGGGCAACGCAGAAACTATTTGGTTTTACCTTCTAGAGTTTTGCTTTGCTCAAGGGACACATGAAAACCATCAGAGTTCTTCCATGAAGCCAATCCTGACCCCCCCAAAGCCTGGGGTGTCTGGCAGTCGGGTAACGTGGATGGATGTTTTGTTATGACCCTCCCCCTCCCCCCCCAAAAAAAATATCTTCCCCACAGAGCTAGCCTAGTGGGACTCCATTGCCTCAATTTGGCCCTTTCCACCAACGCGCCTTCAATGCCTGCAGGCAGCTGCAAAGGCCATGCAATCCAGCCTGGGAGCGTCGAAGAAGACGGGCCGGAAGAGCGACGCAAAGAAAGCAGCGAAATCTAAGTAGGGTCTGCCTCAAGTCACCTAGGTTTGAAAAAATACTCAGAGGAACAAAACAAATAAAGCTCACTGCTCTGGGTGACTTGTTTTGGCAGTTTGTCTGCACTTTAGGTGCACTTTGGGAACCCTGGAAGCACCATTAGTCGTGCCTCCTCATTGAGTTGGCTTTGAATTGGGGTGTGCCTCCTCATTGAGTTGGCTCTGAATTGGTGCCCGCCAGTGTGAGAGTCCGCGTGCCGGAGAAAAAAGATTGCCCTTCGCCTGCAGCCTTGACACACAACGAGAAAGGACGGCATGAGCACTGTGACGTGTGCTGAGGTGCTCACAAGTGGAGCCCGCGCAGAAAGTCGCATCCGGGAAGGCCCGCCGGTGATGGGTTTGCTGTCTAGTTGTGGTGCTTGAAAGCCAGGCTGAGATCAACCCAATTTGAGAATATGCCGACTTCCCAAACCGCTGAAACGTACATCCGAGCCTGGGCGGGTTCTGATTGGATTCGAGCACACAAGTGTCATGCAGGAGTTTGCTGATTGCTTTGGCTTTTTGTTTGCATGCCTAAGGAATGATAGGAGAGGGCAAAGCCTCTGTGGCAGCTGTTGCTCAACTGGCTAGAGCCAACCTGGCAGATTTTGAAGCGGGTGCTCCCGCATCGGTGGCTGCTTTTGCATCGCTGGGTAACTTTGGGAATTGCCCGCAGAATGAAGAACGTGACCTTCACAGGTGGCTGAGTCAATTATTTTCCCTGAAGCTGTCCACTTACTGCGTGGAGGCTGAAGTCCAGGCGCTACCACTTTTAACACTGTTTTTGTCAGAGACCCAGTTGTTTTCAAAACAGCCCCAACATGCCCCAACAGTCGGTGAGTCCTGCTACTGCCAGGTGCCCAACAAGACCGGCTTACGCAAGACTGCGATCCCTTTCCTCTTGCCCCACGAGATTCTTCACTGTCTAGCTGAGTCTTCTTCGTGGCAGGCCGGTGCTTTGCACATATGCAACATCAAATAAGGTTTGAGATTGCAAACGTGTGCCAGTTTGCCCGATCTATGACTGGCCATCGATCTTCAAATGAGATTGTTGCCTTCTGGCGGCATTGCTGCAAACAAGTTGAATGGCGTGATCACCCTGCCCTGACCGACGAAACTGTGCCCAAGGAAAGCCACTTGCTTAATGGGTCTATTTTGCTTTGCTGGCAACCCTTTTCATGTTGGAAGCCCATGGACTCTCCCTTTCCAAAATGCACCTGAGGATTGATACCGATTGCTCTGCACATTGATGGGGCTGAGTTTTATTCCAATTCGGAATACCTGGTCTGGAGTATTGGATCGATCTTCGTTTCTGGCGAGGAGCGGTGTCGGAATCGAAACACGGGTTTGGGATGGTTTGGGATTGGTGGCCACAACCCTTCCTACCAAGTAATTCATCAACATGGTTTAAACCTTTGGCTTTTGAAAGAAAATTGTCAGCCCTTTTCAGTAAATCCAGGCCCGTCAATGTAAAGACTAGAATGTTTGGATTGGAATTCTGATCACATGTGATTGATGTTTGGATTGGTATTCAGATCACATGTGATTGATGTTTGGATTGGTATTCAGATCACATGTGATTGCTGTTTCCCCTTAGGTATGGGATGTGAAATTCCCTTGCTGCATCATCCCGCACCAATGGATGGTGTCCGACAGTGAATCTCAACTGCGTTGGTACCGCCTAGAGTTTCAAGAATTTATGCTTCAACCAGTTTGGGTTCTGCCGTGTTAAGGTCCGAGATTCTTTGTTTAGCCTGGTGGCCTCTGTGCTCTCGTGGTCTATGGGCATTGCTACAAAGGGCGTTGGGCCTACAACTGGCTACAATGGGGAGCAACTTGAAGGGTTTCGAGCTTCCCTGAAAAATGCAACCCTTGCCAAAGGGTGGCGATGTGCTTATTTCGGATTCAAGGTCGATGCCAAAGCGCGGAAAGAGACACATCAGTTTCAGCGGAGCTACTTTCACAATTTTATTTGCGAACGATGCCTAGCACAGAAACCTCGAACTGGTGATGAGCCGCTGCCTTACAAGAACTTTTACGACAGTGCTGGCCATAAACTTACAGCCATCAGTGGCCACCTTATTTGCGCCCGACAATGCAATTGCTCGTGTTGAAGTGTTATGTCTGAACACAACCCTGGCTTTTCTTGTGGCAGGTCATGAAGACTACTTGAGAACTTCTCCAACCCTCAGCCCTTGGGTTTCTATGCCGGGCTGGCATCTCTTCACTTGCTGGCACGACCCTATGCATTGCCTCTTCCTGGGAACATGCAAGCACCTCTTATCATCAACCATGGGGTTTTGGAGTCGCTCAGGGTACTTGGTGGGTGATGATCTGGAGCAACAGTTACGCGGGCTGTCTGCCGAACAGAAAAAAGCTTGTGTTGGGGCTGGATTGCGGGTGCACTTACGGACCTTCACCCCGGCGGGCACAGGGCTGGACACTCCTTCGGAATACCCAGAGCTGGGAAGCAGGTACAAAGCAGCTTCTGTGAAGGCAAGCGTTTGGTTCTTCACAAAGAAAGCTTCAAAATTGGCTCGCAAACATGATGAAGACACTTGCCTAAATGTTTGCCACTTTGTTTTCTCAAGTTGGCCATAAAAACAACAGGGCTTGAGACGGGCAAAACTTAGGATTGGCAGCTCAAGCTGATTTCCGTTTGCTTTTGGTGCTTACAAGAAGGCCTTCGCCTTTTGGATGCTTCTGATATCATCTTATGCCCACATGATGCGGAGGAGCAGGGGTGGCAGCTTATTGAAACAACGATGAAGGGAAACCCACCAAACTAGAAAGAGCAATTCTTGGCTAGCATGCGTAGGAACACATATGCTTAAGTACATCCCAACGTTCCCAATCAACGTATTCTTCCTCCCCCTGTTTGAAAAAAGGGCCCGTCAAACTATAACAAACAGGAATGTATTTTTAAAGGGCCACCATTTTTGCAGGGGGACCTTGTTTGAAAGGGAACGGGGGAAAAGACCTTCTCTGGGAACATGTTTGAAGGAACCTCAGCCGTGACCCTGGCAGGAAATTCACCGGCTTTTCGTGACGCACTTGCAGTGCTGGCAACACATAGCCAGTTTGTGTGAGAGGCGCAAGTGGCGCCTTTTCAAAATCGTTCCGAAACATCATTATTTTCAAGAAATGGCGCAAGATTTGAAGCGGAACCTGGTTAATCCAAACCGGGCTCACGCTTGCTGGTACGATGAATCGTTTTTGGGCTACATCAAAAAGATAGCCACGGCTTGTCACAGCTCTTCCATGATCCAGTCAAGGTTTTGGCAACGGTACCTGTTGCTACTTGCCATGCGATTCGAGGATGCTCGGAGGTGCTCGCGGTGAAAACGTGGGCTCATGCACGCATGCGCTCATGTTTATGCATGTGGGGGCTGTTCTAAACTGAAAGGAAAACGCTGCTGGCCATTTAATTTGAACACCCCCCCCATGTGTCTGTCTGTCGGTCGGTCGGTCGGTCGGCCGGCCGGCCTGTCTGTCTGTCTGTCTGTCTGTCATTCTGTGTCTCTGCGCGTGCAGGTGTGTGTGTGTGTGCGTTTTTGTGTTTCAATGTGTGTGTGTATGTCTCCGTGTGCGCTCGTGCGTGTCTGGTGTGCGCGCGTGCGTGCGTGCGTGCTTGCTCGTCTGTGTGCCTGTGTGCCTGTGTGCCTGTGTGCCTGTGTCTCTGTGTGTCTCTGTGCGGGTTTTTGTTTGCGTGTGTGCGTGTGTGCCCGCTTGTGTCTGCGCGTGCGCGTGCGTTGGCGCGCGTGTGCATGTGTGTGTGTGTGTGTCTGCGGGTGTGGGTGTGCGCGTGTGTCTGTGTGTGTGTGTGTGTTTGTGTGTGTGTGAGTCGCTGCGTGAGTGCGGGCGTGTCGTCGCATGTGTGTGTGTGGGTGTCTGCATGTCTGTCGGTTGCTTCTGCGTGTGTGTGTGTGTGTGCGTGCTGGTTTTGTTTTGTTTGTTGCTTTTGTTTGTTGCTGCATTTGCTTGTTTTTTTGTTTGTTTGTTTGTTTGTTTGTTTGTTTGTTTGTTTGTTGTTGGCTTGCTTGCTTGCTTGCTTGCTTGCTTGCTTGTTTGTTTTGTTTGTTTGTTTGTTTTGTTTTGTTTGTTTGTTTGTTTGTTTGTTTGTTTGTTTGTTTGTTTGGTTGCTTGTGTGTTTGTTTGTGTGTGTTTCTTTGTTTGTTTGTTTGTTTGAATGTTTGTTTGTTTGTTTGTATGTTTGTTTGTTTGCTTGTTGGTTTAATTGTTTGTTTGGTTTGTTTGGTTTGTTTGTCTGTTTGTTCGTCGGTTGGTTGGTTTTTGGTTGCTTGCTTGCTTGTATGTTTGTTCGTTTTTGTGTTTTCTTTTTTTGTTTGTTTGGTTGTGTTTCCGTTTATTTGTTTGGTTCGTTGGGCACGGTTTTGCCATGAAAGATTCCGGGTTTGATGGAGCCCTGTGGTAGAACGCTGCATTTTGTTTTAGCGTTTAACTTTTTTGTTGTGTTTTTTTGTTTGGCTCAAGCGCTCCTTGTGGCGCGAGTGGTCAAGTCAAGCCTGCTTGTGTACCACTCCGCCAACGACAGCGCCGCCCTCGTAGAGCAGCCAGTGTTCGGCGCCGACGATAGCTGCCGCCCTCGTTGAGCTGCCACCGTTCGGCGCCAACGACAGCTGCCCACGCTGCAGCTGTCGCCATTCAAACGACGTCTGTGTCGTGCTCGCCGACGCATGTTGAAGAAATACGAGAGCTGTCCACTACTTATCGTGGACTGGCGCATCTTCAAAACTGCAATCTACCGGAAAAAGTTGTAAGTTTTCCATAAAATGATGCGCAGAGATGTCACGGTTATGCAGTCGCAGCTCTCGTGCAGTGACAGCAGGCTATCGGTATGTATGCCTAACAGCGATCGTAGAATATGTCAGGGTTCCGAGAGTCTCGGAGACTCACGAGAGCTGCACGATACCCACGACAGCTGCCGTCTCGGTCAGCTTGGATGTGTTGCCGCAGCTGTCCAGAGGAGAGCTGCGGAGCGTTACGGTAGGTTGCGCGGCACGGGATCAGAGCTTGGGATCGTCTGACACGGTTCAACGAGGAACTTTGGGTGCCTGAGAGTCTTGGCAGGCTTTGGGTTTTTTCATTCTGCACACTTTCGCGGGCGTGTCCACACACGGGACTATGCGCGAATGTAATACATGTTCGACTCGGAGGCTTTCGAAGTTTCGCGTTGCCTTACTGTCTTGGCTGGCTTATTCCTTTTCGATCGAGCTTCGGCGCTAGATCAGCTGGCGAACGCTCAGGTTGCGTGACCAGGTATGGGATTTGCGTAATGGGTTGCGTCAGCGGGCTTGGAAGGGTCAGGCGGCTGGACGGTGACGCAATGACGCCTAGAGTCTTGTGCACGTTGGGGCGCCGCGAGTTCTGCGCTCTTGTGTGGGCAAAACACTCGCAGGGCAATGTGCGAAGATACCACTTGCAGGTTGCGCGGCACAGGTTCAGAGCTTTGCGTCGCTTTGCACGGTCCAAAGAGGAAGCGTTGGCGCCCTAGAGTCTTGGAAGGCTTTGGGCTTTTGCTTTCTGCACACTTGTGCTGCAAGCAGTGCGCGAAAAAGGAACGAGGACGCTGGACTTGTACAGTCTGCGCAGGGCGGCTGCTGCGTAGCTTCTTCTCGCGATTCCAAAGACGCCACCCCAAAACTCGCAATGGCACGATAACGTGCAACGACTGCCTCCAGCAGCAGATGACGACAGCCACCGCGACAAGTGCGGTGCAAAGACCTGCGCGAAGACGTGAGGCGTCCCTCCTGAATTCCGCTGAGGCGTGTAAGCCGTTCTCCTGCCGCACCGCAGCTGCGCTGCTGGCGAAGTTCACTCCGAAGTTGTTCCAGTGAGAGAGGCAAATGAACGGACCGGGGGTTACCCCGGAGTTCGTTTTGACGTATGCATGGTCACACGCACATGGCGCCGTTCGGCGAGAGTGCGTCATCTCTGCTGCAAACAGTTGTGACCTAGTGTCTTCATGTGGACTTTTCCAGTAGGTATGTTGGACAGCGTTACCCCGACTAACGGGATTTTAATGCCCGGGATGTCGCGCAACTGCCTATGTGACATTGCGCCACCGCTGATGGCGGTAGTGTCCAGCTGTTTGCGGACGAGTGTGAGCTCTATATCCTGCCAGTGAACCGCACGTTCCCTCCGTCATGTGACGAACTCCACGTGAGGGGGGTGTGAGGAGCCATGTGTTTGTTGTGATAGCCGGTGCACCGCGTCAGTGGTCGAGTTCGGAATATCTGCTGTGAACACAGGGGGCTCCGCGCATGTTTTCATCATCACCACGACGATCCTTCGATCAACTATACGCACCCTCTGCATCTCCAATCTCATCATCACCGTTATCATCGTCGATGATAACCATCATCGTGCATCCTCTGCATCACCAACAGTCATGATGATAATGATGATTAAAGGATCATCATCATAGCCGTCGCCCATGATCCTCATCATCACCGTTAGCATCATCGATGATAACCATCATCGTGCATCCTCTGCATCACCAACAGTCATGATGATAATGATGACTACGCACCCTCTGCATTTTTAATCGGCTCTACCGGGACTTTTGAATCGTATATGAAAAAGATAAGGATCGTCATGATAGCCGTGGCCCATCATCGTCATCATCACGGTTATCATCATCGATGATAACCATCATCATGCATCCTCTGCATCACCAACAGTCATGATGATAACGATGACTACGCATCCTCTGCATCTCCAATCGGCTCTAACGGCACTTTTGAATCGTATATGAAAAAGATAAGGATCGTCATCATAGCTGTCGCCCATCATCGTCATCATCACCGTTCTCATCATCGATGATAACCATCATCGTGCATCCTCTGCATCACCAACAGTCATGATGCTAATGATGACTACGCGCCCTCTGCATCTCCAATCTCATCATCACCGTTATCATCGTCGATGATAACCATCATCGTGCATCCTCTGCATCGCCAACAGTCATGATGATAATGATGATTAAATGATCGTCATCATAGCCGTCGCCCATGATAGTCATCATCACCGTTATCATCATCGATGATAACCATCATCGTGCATCCTCTGCATCGCCAACAGTCATGATGATAACGATGACTACGCACCCTCTGCATCTCCAATCGGCTCTAGCGGGACTTTTGAATCGTATATGAAAAAGATAAGGATCCTCATCATAGCCGTGGCCCATCATCGTCATCATCACGGTTATCATCATCGATGATAACCATCATCGTGCATCCTCTGCATCACCAACAGTCATGATAATGATGACTGCGCATCCTCTGCATCTCCAATCGACTCTAACGGCACTTTTGAATCGTATATGTCACCGTTATCATCATCCATGATAACCATCCTCGTGCATCCTCTGCATCACCAACAGTCATGATGATAATGATGACTACGCACCCTCTGCATTTCCAATCTCATCATCACCGTTATCATCATCGATGATAACCATCATCGTGCATCCTCATCGATGATAACCATCATCGTGCATCCTCTGCATCACCAACAGTCATGATGATAATGATGATTACGCATCCTCTGCATCTCCAATCGGCTCTAACGGCACTTTTGAATCGTATATGAAAAAGATAAGGATCGTCATCATAGCCGTCGCCCATTATTGTCATCATCACCGTTCTCATCATCGATGATAACCATCATCGTGCATCCTTTGCATCACCAACAGTCATGATGATAATGATGACTACGCACCCTCTGCATCTCCAATCTCATCATCACCGTTATCATCATCGATGATAACCGTCATCGTGCATCCTCATTGACGATAACCATCATCGTGCATCCTTTGCGTCACCAACAGTCATGATGATAACGATGACTACGCATCCTCTGCATCTCCAATCGGCTCTCGGCACTTTTGAATCGTATGTAAAAAAGGATAAGGATCGTCATCATAGCCGTCGCCCATCCTCGTCATCACCACCGTTATCATCATCGGTGATAACCATCATCGTGCATCCTCTGCATCACCAACAGTCATGATGATAATGATGACTACGCGCCCTCTGCATCTCCAATCTCATCATCACCGTTATCATCATCGATGATAACCATCATCGTGCATCCTCTGCATCACCAACAGTCATGATGATAATGATGACGATGCATCCTCTGCATCTCCAATCGGCTCTAACGGCACTTTTGAATCGTATAAGAAAAAGATAAGGATCGTCATCATAACCGTCGCCCATTATTGTCATCATCACCGTTCTCATCATCGAGGATAACCATCATCGTGTATCCTCTGCATCACCAACAGTGATGATGATAGTGACTCACCGTTATCATCATCGATGATAACCATCATCCAACAGTCATGATGATAACGATGACTACGCATCCTCTGCATCTCCAATCGGCTCGCCGTCGCCCATCATCGTCATCATCACCGTTATCATCATCGATGATAACCATCATCGTGCATCCTCTGCATCGCCAACAGTCATGATGATAATGATGACTACGCACCCTCTGCATCTCCAATCGGCTCTAACGGGACTTTTGAATTATATGAAAAAGATAAGGATCCTCATCATAGCCGTCGCCCATCATCGTCACCATCGCCGTTCTCATCATCGATGATAACCATCATCGTGCATCCTCTGCATCACCAACAGTCATGATGCTAATGATGACTACGCGCCCTCTGCATCTCCAATCTCATCATCACCGTTATCATCGTCGATGACAACCTTCATCGTGCATCCTCTGCATCGCCAACAGTCGTGATGATAATGATGATTAAAGGATCTTCATCATAGCCGTCGCCCATGGATGATGATGATGATGATGGTGGTGCTGATGATGATGATGATGATAATAATGATATGAAAAAGAGAAGGATCGTCGTCATGGCCGTCGCCCATCATCGTCATCATCACCCTTATCGTCATCGATGATAACCATCATCGTGCATCCTCTGCATCACCAACAGCCATGATGATAATGATGACTACGCATCCTCTGCATCTCCAATCGGCTCTAATCATGGCCGTCGCCCATCATCGTCATCATCACCGTTATCATCATCGATGATAACCATCATCGTGCATCCTCTGCATCACCAACAGTCATGATGATAACGATGACTACGCACCCTCTGCACCTCCAATCTCATCATCATGATAATCATGCCCACGCATCTTTTGCATCACCAATGGGCTCTAACGCCACACTTGAAATGTATACTGTACAAAGACATGGTGACGACTACGTATCAGCATCACCAGCAGTCCTCATGATAATCATGTCCACGCATGATGATGATGGTGATGATGATGATGGCGGTGCTGATGATGATGATGATGATGATGATAACTATCATCGTAGCATCCTCTGCATCTCCAATGGTGATGATAACTATCATCGTAGCAACGCATCCGCAGCACCCTTCCCGTGCGCCTCCCCCTTTCAGGAGCAGGGGTCGGCGGATATATATATATATATATATATTACAAGAGAGGTGGTCCAGATGCAACAGTTGTCAGATGACCGGCTGGTCGAAATCCTCAACTTTTCTGGTTGCGGGGCCAAGGCCGGAGACACCCTCCGTTTGTGGCTTGTGTTCAAGGGTGCCTTGCCAGACTCATGGAACCCCTCGTGCCATGGACACCTGGAGGTCATTTTGCGAGCAGAGGGGGGGGGTTGCGAAATCCAAGAGTCATCATGACCCCAGCCTTCTTTGAGGGTAATTATTGGTTTTGGGTTCTTCTCTAGGTGTCCATGGCCCCTCCCGCTGCGTCTACCTTTGAGAGTGCCGAGGAGCAGGTGGCATCCGTGGACAACGGCTGGAATCTGCATGCGGCACCACAGGTCACCGCAGGAGAGATGGCGAAATCTGACCAAATGAGCGTGAGGTTTCCGGCCACCTTGAACCAACAGGGAAGTGGGAGAATAGAGCAGCAGGCGTGGGACTCTTTGTCGTTTTGCCCAGTGCGGGGGACGTTTTGTGTTTAAAGCATTTGCCACCTTGCTGTGTTGGGGCTCTCCATCCGAGGGTCCTATCTTAGACAAGCCCTAAGCCTTCGGCCAGTGGCTTCCTGGAGGTGCGCCAAGCTTCCAAAAAGGAAAACCAACAGAGAAGTCCCGTGCTCAAGCGATGCTGGCATGGAAGTTTGGAGCCCTGCCAAATGCAGGCCTGACATGTGTTGAGTCCTTTGTGGATGCCCCCAAAGTCAGAGTGCTAAGCGGGTGCGACTCTGCAAAGCGTGGTGGAACCTACGGTGGGCATGGTTTCGAAGAACGCAGCTTTTGATATCTTTTGATGGTCATGATTGAATAAACCTTGCAACTCATGAAGGTGTGTGCGTGTGTGTGTGTGTGTGTGTGTGTGTGTGTGTGTGTGTGTGTGTGTGTGTGTGTGTGTGTGTGTGTGTGTGTGTGTGTGTGTGTGTGTGTGTGTGTGTGTGTGTGTGTGTGTGTGTGTGTTTGTGTGTGTGTGTGTGTGTGTGTGTGTGTGTGTGTGTGTGTGTGTGTGTGTGTGTGTGTGTGTGTGTGTGTGTGTGTGTGTGTGTGTGTGTGTGTGTGTGTGTGTGTGTGTGTGTGTGTGTGTGTGTGTGTGTGTGTGTGTGTGTGTGTGTGTGTGTGTGTGTGTGTGTGTGTGTGTGTTTGTGCGTGTGTTTCCCCAGATGTGAATGATCCGGGCCCCTTTAAAGGGGACACGCCCCCCCCATTTTCCGAGTTGGTTCCCAGGCCCCTGCTGCCAGGACAACGGGGAGACGAGATCGTTTGGGTCGACGAAGAGGTGGCCGCAGCTGGGAATCAAACACAAGCCCTTCCTCTCTCGCCGCATTTGCTGAGGGTCATGTGGTTGGGTTTTGCTTGTGGGCAGAGCTGCCAACTTTTTAAAGACCCCCATCGAGTTCCATGTGAACTGCTGTAGCTGTTTGCGTTCCATGTTAATCTGTATAGCTTTTTGGTATTGGACATTTCTCCTGGTAAGGAGGCAAGTGCCTTGCGGGATACCGTTTTGTTTTGTCAACGCAGCACTGAGGTGTTGCGCTACCAAGCCCCGGCAGTGGGGCGTGCTGTGGAACAGCTCAAGGTGCGAGGTTTGGAAGGGGTGACATGTAAAGGTGCTTTGAGCCATGCGTTTTCTTTTTTGCCTTTGCACCCAGTCGAGAGACAGGCACTTGCCATGTAAAGCTTGTAAAGCTGCATGCTCCAGCCTTCTCAACACTTAATAAAGCATCTTAAAGCGTTGCGCACATGCCCTCCACTGTGTCCTCTTGTGGGACCTTTGACCGGAAAAGCTTGTTAACACAATGTCCAGCAAGCGGTCGTGGTAGCATACCGGCTCGGCGCATCCTAAAGCCGATGGCCTCAGGCTTGGCATCCCACAGGCCACATTCCGCACGTAGCCATACGGATTTCCAAAAAATAAGTTTGTGAAGGGCCAGCACATGCACCCACACCCACGCGCACACACCCACACTGAATGGATTTACGCGAGAGCGCACACAGATTCAATCAATCCCACATGCACATCATCACACGATCACCTCCACGTATCCGGAACACAACAATACAAAGATGCATAGACACAAACACCTAAGCACGCTAGCTCAAAATCGCGCACACACACACAGGCCTGCGCACACTTTATTGCGCACTTGTCGCACAGTAATTGTCGACTCTTTGGCAGAGTTTGTTTATTTTCCCGTGCTCGGTTGGTGCAGGCGCTTGCTGCAGCTTTGAACCCGGCGATGTCCGAACGCCATCGGAAGCTGGCGGCGGCGGGAGACGGAGCGCACACGCTGCTTGGCTCAGATTGGAGGGACCGAGGCTTTCCGATTGGATGCCGGCTTTGGCTTTTCAATCGGCCCTTTGCTACCAGTAGCGAAACCTACAGCCTTGGCAGCTGGTTGTTTGCTGTCTAGAGGCCCGGTGACTGAGGAGGTTTAGTTTGTGCCTGAGCCAACGTTTTTGGGGCCATGCAACACCACCCCATTTTGACACCTAAATGAACATTTGGTCACACCGATTGTTTATTTATCCTTCCTGCTTTCTGAGAAATAGTCACGAGTCATGACCGGTGAATATCTAGTCTTGTGGTGCCAGCAATGGAAATCCCCGTTGTTCAGTGGCACTCTTGACCAATTTTGCTGGTGCTCCACGCTTAAGATCGAATCAACGCCAAAAAGGGTTCAGGTTTTTGCCAGAGTCACTGGTTGCAGCTGGGAAACTTTGCTCTTGGCGGCCCATGTGGCCGGCTTTTCGCCCGAGGCTCCAGCCAAAAGCCCCAGCTTCGGAGGATGCAGTTCTGACGGTGTCCCCGCGGGCGCAACTGGCAAGCTACCGCGGTGAGACGGGCTACGTTTGCCACCAGGACAACCGCTTCAGGACACGCGCATGCTCGGGCTCCGTTAGGGACGAAAGCCTCGAGCATAGTTTCGAACAATTCAAATGTCCTCGATGGATGTGCCTGACTTAAGGCTCAAGCCAGCTTACTGGGGATTGGGGCTGGGGGCACCGCCCAGTAGGCAGAAGTCCTGTCAAAGACGCTCGCTCGGTTTTCAAGAAGGATGCTCTGCCTGTCGTCACCGAATTTTCAGTACTTTGGGAAATTCTGGGGACGCGAAAGCTATTGGACCTCAAGTTGGGGCAACAGCAACCCTATAGCTGGCCTGCTTTGAGCCGCGTTCGAGATCCCATAGCAGCCTCTGGTTGTTTGGCTGTGTCGTGGAGTGACCCTCAAAACGCATGCGTTTCTCGGAGCCCCAGTGGGCCCCAGTCGGATGTCGCGCCCCGAAAAGAAGCTGAAACAGTTGTGGGGCCAGGCCAAGCCACGGCACCCGTCTCAACAGCCGGGAGCTCACCGCCATTTTGTACGCCAACAAAAACTGGCGCCCAGAAGATGCCCAGCCAAAGCGCCGAAGGGGGCGGGCAGTCTCACCTGGGAAATTCGGACCCACATGAGCGTCGAGCCTCAAATTCCTTTGATAACTTCCATTGTTGTGGGCCCAAATGTCGGAATACCTGCAAGGAGCCCCGCCTTTGTGAACAACCCTTGGCATCCTGACACATTGAAAACCGGACTTAGACTCTGTTCTGCAATCTCCTGCTTTAGGCTGTTTCTTTGACGTGGGCGGTCCAAATGCAATAGGGCCTCATCCTTCTCCCCGAAAGAGGGGATGGCCACTTACGAGATGGGCGTTTGAGGTGAATGCTGTTTGTTGGGGGTGATGCGGCTGCGAAAGAGAGAGACAGATAGATATCTAGGTGGATAGATAGATAAACTTTTAGCTGGATACATGGACAAGATAGATAGATAGATAGATAGGTAGATGAATAGTTACATAGCTCGATTGGTAGATAGATACATAGTTACATTTAGATATAGTTATAAATTATACAGATAGATACGATAGATGATACGCAGCAGATAGACAAGACAAACAAGATATCCAAATCGATAAGACAGATAAAAGTTCGATTAGGTTGCTCGGTTGGTTGGCTGATACATTGATACGTAGATACGTAGGTAGACGGCAAAGAGATGCAGAAAGAGAAGGACAGCAACATGAAAAAATAGAAAGCACAAAGAAGGAAGGAAAGACCCAAAGATACATATGATTTGGCTCGCCTTTGTGAAGCTTTTGCCCACCGGCTTCACCGGCTCACTGGCAGCCCGGGCGTGTGTGCGTGTGTGTGCGTGTCTGCGTGCGTGCGTGGGTGCGTGGGTGCGTGGGTGCGTGGGTGCGTGGGTGCGTGGGTGCGTGGGTGCGTGGGTGCGTGGGTGCGTGGGTGCGTGGGTGGGTGGGTGCGTGGGTGCGTGGGTGCGTGGGTGCGTGGGTGCGTGGGTGCGTGGGTGCGTGGGTGCGTGGGTGCGTGGGTGCGTGGGTGCGTGGGTGCGTGGGTGCGTGGGTGCGTGGGTGCGTGGGTGCGTGGGTGCGTGGGTGCGAGGGTGCGTGGGTGCGTGGGTGCGTGCGTGGGTGCGTGGGTGCGTGGGTGCGTGGGTGCGTGGGTGCGTGGGTGCGTGGGTGCGTGGGTGCGTGGGTGCGTGGGTGCGTGGGTGCGTTGGTGCGTGGGTGCGTGGGTGCGTGGGTGCGTGGGTGCGTGGGTGCGTGGGTGCGTGGGTGCGTGGGTGCGTGGGTGCGTGGGTGCGTGGGTGCGTGGGTGCGTGGGTGCGTGGGTGCGTGGGTGCGTGGGTGCGTGGGTGCGTGGGTGCGTGGGTGCGTGGGTGCGTGGGTGCGTGGGTGCGTGGGTGCGTGGGTGCGATGGTGCGTGGGGTGCGTGGGTGCGTGGGTGCGTGTGTGCGTGGGTGCGTGGGTG